CCCTCCCTTGGATCATCCCTGCCCTCCCCTGGATCATCCCTGCCCTGGATGTCCCTTCCCTCCCTTGGATCATCCCTGCCTTCCCCTGGATCATCCCTTCCCTCCCTTGGATCATCCCTGCCCTCCCCTGGACTGCCCTGCCCTCCCCTGGATGTCCATACCCTCCCTTGGATCATCCCTGCCCTGCCCTGGATGTCCATACCCTCCCCTGGATCATCCCTCCCCTCCCTTGGATCATCCCTGCCCTGCCCTGGATGTCCATACCCTCCCCTGGATCATCCCTGCCCTTCCCTGGATTATCCCTGCCTTCCCCTGGATTCTCTCTGCCCTCCCCTCCCCTGGATGTTCCCTGCCCTCACCTGGATCTCCTCCGGTGTGGGGATCGTGACCTGCTCCTCCTCCTGTCCCTGTCCCTGGATCGGGACCTGTCCCGTCGCCGCCTGTCCCTGTCCCGGGATGTGGAGCGCGAGCGGCGCCGCTCTGCCCCCACCAGGGTCAGCTCCTGCTGCTTTCCCTCTTCCCACAGGGATCCCACGGCACATCCCAGCTCCCGGGACAGAACATCCCAGCCCTCCTCACCCCCAGGACACACACAGCTCCCATATCCCACAGCCCCATGTCTCATCCCATGTCCCACATCCCACGTCCTATGTCCCATATCCCATCCCATATCCCATATCCTACATTCCATGTCCTATGTCCTATGTCCCATATCCCATCCCATATCCCACATCCCATGTCCCACATCCCACGTCCTATGTCCCATATACCATTCCATATCCTACATCCCATGTTCTACATCCCATATCCCATCCCGTATCCTACATCCCATGGGGATGTCCTATGTCCCATATCCCATCCCATATCCCATATCCTATATCCTGCATCCCATGCCCTACGTCCCATATGCCATGTCCTATGTCCTACATCCCATATCCTATCCCATATCCTACATCCCATGGGGATGTCCTATGTCCCATATCCCATATCCTACATCCCACGTGCTATGTCCCATATCCCATATTCTACATCCTACATCCTATGCCCCATATCCCATATCCTACATCCCACATGCTATGTCCCATATCCTACATCCTACATCCTATGTCCCATATCCTACATCCCACATCCTATGTCCCATATCCCATATCCTACATCCCATGTCCTATGTCCCATATCCCATATCCTACATCCCACGTCCTATGCCCCATATCCCATATCCTACATCCCACATCCTATGTCCCATATCCCATTCCATATCCCATATCCCATGCCCTGTGTGCTAGATCCCACATCCCACGTACAGCGCCCTATATCCCGTACCTCATGCCCCATCCCATATCCTCTATCCCACATTCCACATCCTATAACCCATATCCAATACCTCATCCCATATCCCGCATCTCTCCGCCCGGACTGTACCCCCCGTCCCGCGCGTGGGGTGAGCCCCGCGACCCTCATCCCCCGGTCCCTGGTCCCCCGGCCCTCCCGGGGGTCTCCCCGCGCCCC